TTGGGAAATGTCTTGTCAATGGAGCTCTCAGAATACACACAATACTTACTAAGTTCATTGTCTTTTATGAGTGGTTTGTGGTTCCGGAAAACAAGTACAAGAGTAACATCAAAGGTCACTGATCACAGATCACATAACAAATATAATAATAAAAAAAAAACTTTTTAAATATTGTAAGAATTACCAAAATGTGATACAGACATATGAAGTGAGTAAATGCTATTGGAAAAATGGGGCTAATAAACTTGTAAAATGTGTAATAACCACAAAGCACAATAAAATGAGGTAATGCCTTTATAATCATGTGCCACATAAAAATATTTTGGTCAGTGATAGACCACATATATGATAGCGGTCCCATAAGAATACAATGAAGCTGAAAAATTCCTATTGCCAAGTCACATCAAAGCTGTCTTAAAAGTCATAGAACAATATATTACTCATGTGTTTATGGTGATACTGGTGTAAACAAAACTATTTCACTACCAGTCATAGAAAAGTATTGCAAAGACAATTACTGAAGTGAATTATACCATCTAGGTATAAAAACACTGCATGATATTCACCTAATGACTCATTTCTCTGATCATATCTCCATTATTAAGCATCACATGACTATACTGTGCCCTTCTTTAGAAATAACTGCATTCTTGTGGTAAACACACTCCTAAGGATTCATAGCTTGATGAAGGACAGGAACTTTTGTACAAAGGAAAAAGTGCTCCTTCCTAGAAGCAAATGGCCTCATTTGTCCTTTTGGTTGGGCACACCCATACAGTGTAGAGTCTATAAAACTGTGATTGCCTTGAATAAGGAAGGGGTTTTAGTGGAACTAGTTCCTATAGTTTTTATATTTATTTTTATTCCACAGCAGTCTGGATGCAGAAATGGAGAAGGCAAATCAACAGACTCTAGGTTGAGGTTTTTCCATGTAAGCACAATAAAATCAATCACAAAGGGATAAGATAGCTGAAAACACTGGCAAGTTTTAGGGATAGTTGGTCTAGGATGATAGCAAAGGAAGATGTGGCAGACATGATTACCCATTCTTCTTTTTCTATATGAATTGAATCACTATTTTATCCAGAATTTGGGCAGTGATGCAGTAGGACAAGGTGAACTAAAGTCAAGCAGTGACTCGCAGGTGAAACCAATCATGGTAGTCACATTCCTCTGCGTCAGTTTAGAGGTGGGTGTGTGACCTAGGTTTATCCTAAGAAATATAAATGAAAGTTTTCCCTTAGACAAAGATGCCCAGGATAAACAGTCATTTTACTTTCCTTTATATGTGGCCTTATAAAGAAGTGACACTTAAAGCTGTGGTAGCCATTTTATGACCATGATGGGGCAAATTTGAGCTCAAATAGTACATGAGGAAATGAAAGAACCAAAAAACCTGGGTCCTCAATGACATTATTAAAGATAGAAGGGTTATTATTGTTACAGGTGGGCACAGGTAACAAGGTACTTGGTGATTGCGGACAAAAAACTGAACCGAGCACACAGAGTTTACAGCAGAAAGCGAGAGAAAGCAGACTTACTAAGCCACAAAGAACATGGGAGCAGGCCAACTCTGAGCAGAGCGAAGCAGAGAAGAGCAGAGGCTAACAGCCTAACAGCCCAGACCTCACGGGGTGAGAGGGCTTTTATTCCTTTAGAGTGGGTCCCCCATGATTTCCTTGATTGGCTACCGGGAAGGGGGTCCCACGATGCTAATTTATTATAATGCAATTATAATGAAACATGGGTCAGGTAGCATCTTCTGTACAGGTGCATTCCTGATTCTCTAGGATTCAATGTTTTTCCAGAAAGCAGATACAACCAGTCTTAGAACAGGGTCTCCGCCCTTTATTGATGTTCTTCATCTTAGCTCTGGGGCACCTCTGGAGTTTCCCTCTTCCTATCTCCTGCCTCATTATCACTCTCTTCTTTCTGAAATTTCTTTTTCTTCCGAAACACCACTTTTTCCTTTATCACCACTGTGGGGTTTCACTTAAAACTTCATTTTTACTTCTCTCTCTAGGAAGGGGTGTCCAACCTTTTGGCGCCTCTGGGCCACACTGGAAGAAGAGTTGTCTTGGGCCACACATTCAATACATTATGACACATAATCACAGAAAAAATCTCAATGTTTAAGTAAACTTATGATTTTGTGTTGGGCTGCATTCATAGCCGTCCTAGGCCACATGTGGCCCATGGGTCGTGGGTTGGACACCCCTGCTAGAGGTTGGTCAAGTTCATTGGTTTTAGTCATTTTTTAAAAAAATTATTTTCAACAGGCAGAGTATTTTTAGTTTTTAAGAATATATTTAATATCACTTATACTCAAAAATCCATTTTTGGTCTTTTAAAAACACTTTTACTGAACTGTTATTCACATATCATACATCTACTTAAAGTACACAATTCAAAAGTTTTTACCCTACACACAGAGCCATACAACCATAAGCATAATCAATTTTAGAAAATTTTCATCATCCCTAAAAGAAATCCTGTATTTAGGAGCAGTCACTTTTCATTCCCTTCTGTCCTAGAAAACCAATACTCTACTTTGTTTCAGATTTACCTATTCTGTGAGCTTTCCGACAATTAAAACTTGCATTGTTCATCACTAATCCCCAGTATCTAGGAAACTGGCTGGCACACGGGACTTCAATACTTGTCCAATAGTGAACAAGATAGAATAAGTCCTTGCTTTCTGGTAATTTATATTCTAAAGGGGGAGATCAATAAATTAGAAAGAAACACCTAAATTCTGTTAACTGTTGCAAAGGAGAGAATGCACTATAAGAGGATATTAAGGGATCTATTTGGATAGCAAAATAAGATGCTCCTCAGAGATGAGCTGACATTTATGCTGAGACCTCAATTAATGCTAGGAAGGAATGAGCCACAAAAAGCCTAGAGAAGAGAATCCCCATCAAAGAGAAGGGCAAGTGAAGTTTCAGGGACTACGAAGAACCCAGTAAATTCCAGGAAAGTCAGTGTGACAACAGAATAGTAAAGGCAAAGGATGATGAAAAAAGTGGTGGAAAGGTAATTAAGGACCAGATTATACAAACCTTTTTAGGGGACGGTAAGGAATTTATCTTTAACTCCAAGTGAATCTGCATGTCATTTAAAATTGTATGATTAATTCCTTGTGTGGAGCCTTACTATTCAAACTGTGCCTCAACCAGCAGCAGCAGCATTACCTCTGAACTTTTTAAAACTGCAGAATCTGAGGCAACAACCTAGAAATGATGAAGAGTCTCTACCTTTAACAAGATCCCCAAGTGATTCATCTGTACATTAAATCTTGAGAAACACTAGAGAATGGATTAGGAGAAAGAAGAGGGGGGAAAAGTTAGGTATGCTAGTCCAAGTGAGAGATGAAGGCTGTCAGTATAAGGGTGACAGTAGAAAGGATGAGAAGACTGATTTAGGGTGTCTTTTGGAGATGACTGGTTTTAGTCTTTTAGGCTAAGTGGAATTTAGTGTAAGCAGGTATTATAATGATACCTTTTGGGATTGGAGAGACAGATATGCTGGTCTATTGGATATCTTGCTTCTGAGTTTCAAGTGTTTTACAATTTTATATTGACAAATGTATGCATGCATGTTGTTATTTTTATGGAAAATAAGACATGCCTTGCTGAAGGCTGTCCCAAGTCTTCCAGACTTTCACTTTGAGGTTCTCTGTTATTAGATATCTTTCAAGTCCTTTTTAACTCTTTCACAAAAAAAGTGTTATGGATGTCTTAAAATTCAAGGCCCATGGCTTATCAACATTCTTCTTTATCCATTACTCCCAGGAGTCTCTACAATCAGTTCTTAACTGGGACAGATATCCTTAAGTTTATCCAGTTCCAGGTACAAATCAGATTGGAAACTCCTAGGTTGGTGGGTCCCATTCTTTGGGTGTACAATTCAGTATTCTTAAAAAATGATAAGTGAGCTAGAAGCAAGTCAGTTAATAGGAATGAAAAAACATAAAGAATTCCAAGTGTGGGAGACTTTATAGAGTCCCTATTTTTAAGCCCAAGAGAAATTTCTTAAATTACTTCCGTAAGTGGCACAGATGAATTCCAGTTTAAAGCTTTTCTTCCTTGTTACCATTTCTCTCACCTAAGATAGTTTTGTCAAAAATTTAGAAATAACCTAAGTAAAACTAATGAATTTCAACTGTAGGAAATAGTTCAAGTTTTGCTTGATTTCCAAAGGCATAGCAAAAAATGACATACAAGTCAAGCGACTCGTCCAATACAAGCTAAATTAAGCTTTGTTTGTATGACTAAACTGGTTTTATTTGCTCAGGGAATTTTCAAAGCGGGTCTCCACTTGTTTTTGATTTTAATAGTTTGTTACAATTTTTTTTTCTTTTTTTAAGGTATGGTAAACAAGACGACTTACCATGGTTTCTATTCCCAGTCATTGGTAACTGTGAGAGTATGATCACACTACTAGTGTCCGTGGGACAGTTCCAGGACTTTGCCGCCTCTGGTTAAATTCACAAGACACGGAAAACCTGGCAGAGTTCCGGTTAGGAAGTAATACTAACTTTTTCAACGATATTACTATATCTAGAGTTCCCTGTTTCCCGTACTGTGAAACACTGTCTTAACAAAAAGAAATTTTAATAACTTTGAGAAGAAAGTTCCCTTCCAGTAAAAACCATGTGTGCATTTGAAGGGGATGCAGCCAATGGGAATTGTTCAAAGAAAAGCGGAGGGTTTGCTCCAGAGTCTAGGCTGGGTCGGGGTAACGGAACGTAAGGCTGAGTTAAGTCGACTCGGACCTGCCTTCTCGGGTGGTACCCCCCTGGCGGGGCAGAGACTGGGGGAGGAAAGCTCAGGTCTCCGCGCGGCCTCTAGGTGAGTCGCGTGGCTGGATAGAGGGGCCGAGGAACCTCCTAGCCTCTCGGACCTGCACTCCTTAATAACCGTAGGTCCCGCTCCTCCCCCCAGCGGGGGGAGGAGGGGGGCAAGCGGGTGTTCTCTCAAGCTATAAAGCGCCTTGGGTCGCCGCGGCTGCCCTCAGCGTCCTCCGGCTCCGCCCTCGCCGCTTTCCTCCCGACTCGAGCGCCCTTTCGCGCTCAGGCTTCACTCGACCCTCTCGGGCCTCGGCTACTCAGGCGGCGGTGGAAGATGGCGGCCCCGGCCGACTGCTCCGAGGAAGCTTTGGCTGCTGCCCTGGCGGACGTGCCCGAACTAGCCAGACTCCTAGAGGCTGACCCGTATCTGAAGCCCTTCGCCCTGGACTTCCAGCGCAGGTACCACCTGACTTATCATGGTTCTCCCCCCAAGACCCCCCGTTCCTGACAGTGGGGCAGGCCGCCTTCCATGCGCATGCTCGGGTTTCAGGCCTCCCCTTCCTCTCCTTGGCGCGCCGCCCCGCCCCACCCCAGCATCCGCCCCACCCCTCGCGGCCCCGCCTCCGGCCTTGGAAGTTGGCACCTTCCGAGGGTGGGCGTGAGGTTCTCTTTTGTAATTAGGTCCTGTGGTTTCCGGAGTGGCTGGGTTGACGCCTCTGGCCCCCTAACTGGGCGAAGCAGCTCAGAATTAACTTTTCTCTTCCTCTTTCCCGTCCCTTGGAGTCAGTGGTTTTGCGCCATTGAGTACGTGCTTTTGGGCTCCTAGTACTGGTTTCCTCCGGTGCTGAACTGGAGGGAGGCGGGGCCTCCGTACCGAGGTGATCCTGTGAATTAGCGTGTGCTTAACACCAACCAGCGTGTGTAATTGCGCTTTAATTTTTTTTTTTCTAGTTCATTTCATAGCAAATACTGGGATTTTTATATATAACAGGATTCTTTCTGGTAGCTTTTGTTCTTTGCTTTTATCCCTCTCTCGGAGAAGAGTAAGCCAGTCTTGGTCAACCTCTCACTTCCCAATGCTGATCAGTAAACTGTACAGCAACATGCATCTGTTTGGCATTGCCATACTGGAGAGGGAGAACGGCAAGAAAGTCAAACTTCCAGTAGGCGATTTAGGATGCTTTAGTTGCAGCTTGTCTGATACACTCTAGTAAATTGGTTTACTGCAATTAAGTTGCTGAGATAATAATGCTGGTAGTCAGCTCTACTGTAAAAGTGTAATTTTTAAGATTATAGCAGTTGCTATACTAGTTACAGGAGTTACATCTATGAGATAAGCACATTGAGTTTACTGGTTCTGCCTTTTTAGCAGCCTAGCCACTTAAGAATGAAAACAATCATGGCAACAGAATATATATAGTCAAATTTTCAAGAAACAGAAAACATCTAGCTAGTTGCTGGCAAGAAGCAGCAAGAAGAGGGTAATGAAACAAGGTTGATAAGTTGTTTTTTTTTTTTTTTTTTTTTTTTTAATCTTAAATGTATGACCTACCATTGTCACTCATTGCCTGTGTTCAATTCAGCAACTGTTTATTAAAGAATCCCTACGGGACACAAAATTGAATATAACATCTATTTCAGAGTTTATATGTCCTAATGAATGAACCCTTCTCAGAGTGGTCACTTTGAGCTGTTGCTCAATTTTTCTGATGATAGGACCCTTGTATAAGCAGTATGGGGAGCAGCCTTGGGAAATTGCTTTCCATATTTACAGTGTAACTTTCAAAGAAACAGTTCATAATTTTCATAGTTCAAGATTGGATTTGATTTAGAAATAGTAAAAAATCTTAGAGCCAAAGATGGTGGTCAGACTTTTTTGATGTGCTTATTAATGATGACACTCTGCTTTGTAAAATAACACTAAGACATTTCTAAGAGTTGTGGAAATGTTTTGACTGTTTCTCACCCTCCCCCTCTAAAAAAAATGATTGCAAGCAGACACACATCCCTAGTTAAGTGTTTCATGTAACTCACTTGCACTCCATTAGGACTGAAGCCATTGTGATCCTCCTTCATGGTTTGTCAAAGCTAATCAGGGGGGCCAAGGTCAGAATAAAGAAGTGAGGTCAATTTCATGTTGATGAGAAGTCTGGTTCAATGGGTCCCTGTGCCTCTCTCTGACTTGGATTCTACTTCTGGCCTTGGTTCTCAGTAATTGTCATTTTCCAACACACATGTTCCATTTAGGCATTTCAAATAGTAATTTGGCATTTGGCAGCAGTAACTTTTATTGTTAACATTTGAAGAATAAACAATTACTCCTTCATAAAGTTTGGTCCTGGTTACTTTTTCTATTTTTTGTTTATTTTTAATAACTCACCTGAGCAGTGTACCTTTGGCATAACACAAATACACAACCAGTCAAACATTTAAGTGCAAAGTATGATTATCAAGGATTGAAGAAAATTTGGAGTACAAACAATATATAAGAATGGTGAGGGAGAAGACAATGTTTACTGATCAACATTGGGGAATGAGAGGATTTCTTTGTATCCTTCCCTCAACATACCTTCCTTAGACATTCTGTTATTCTTGTTAACTTTTTCCATAACTGTAACAATGTTGAATCAAGGGTAAGGATTACTGAGTTACTCTGTGCCATACTAAAAAGTAGTACATTAGAGTGACAAACTCTATGATATCTAATTGATTACTTCCTAAGATGGAATTTTCCTTGTGGTTATCTGTTTCTTTTTCTTTTTTTACCTGTTATTTTCACTGTAATTAGTTGCTCTCATCATAATTCCAACATCTGCCTGTTTTAAAACAACACTTAGTTGTCCCTATATAACAGGCCAACTTGAGGCATCTATCTATAGGACTCTTCCTCAAACATCTAGGCTGATGAAGGCTTTGTTTTGAAACATGTTTTTACAGTGTCAGTTGCAAGGAACAGAGGATATGTTGTGCTACACACTGTTTCTTAAACCTTTTGGCTGAGTCATGTCTGCTGATTATTGGACAGTGCAAGTCAAATGTGGCTTCTGAGCCATGTGAGTGGAAGAGAGAATTGACATTCCTCAGAAGCCTGAAAAACAACACAGTTGCAATAACACTTGTCTGTACCCTCTCTTTAAAGTTTATATAATACTTTTACATACATTATGGAATTTAATTTATTTCTCATAACAAAATGACAAGGTTGGAAGCATGTGCATTTTTTCCTGTTTTACAGATGAGAAATGTGGTATTTGGTGATTGGCTTAAGTTGACATGGCCAGTAAGTGCTGCAGCTAAAATTAATCTTTCTTTACTAAACTTGTTTACAACAAGTTCACAACGGTTTCTTGGTAATTCAGTGGATACCTCCAGCTTTGGACATTTGGGACCACTTCTTGTATCCTCAAAGCCATGATACTGCAGCTCTTGCTTTTCTTGAATTGTCTTTAGTGGTTTCTTCTCTGCCTCTTTCTGACCATTTAACATAGGAGATTCTTTGGGCCTTCCCTAGGTTCTTTTCTATGTATTTCTACTTTATGTACTTTTCCTAGTATTCTCGTTCATCCCATGTGTTCTAGCTATGTAGTGAGGCTGCCCATGCCTATCTACACCCCAAATCTTTCTCCTGGTCTCAAACATATTTATAAATATCTTCATTTTGATGCCCTATTAGAAGAACACTGAACATGTATAAAATTGAATTTATGGTTTTTTCCAAACCTGTTTGTCCCTTTATACCCTATTTCAGTGCATAGTATCTTCATCTATTGACTACTCAAGTCTAAAACTTAAGAATTATCCTTAATTACTCTGTTCCTCTCCTTTTCTCTTATCCCTAAGTCTAGTCAGTTATATGCCACTCAATTCTACTGTTTTCATCTTAAGTTACTAGCATCTCTAGCCTAAATTACAATAAAAGCCTCACAGTAGTTCTTCCTTTTCAAGTCTTCTCACCATTTCCCTATGGCTCTTAAGGTATGAGGCAGACACCTTCTCATGACTTAAAAGATTCTGGTCCCTGTCTACATTTTTAACCTATTCTTTGGACCCTCTTTCACTCTGTACCATCTAATCAGAGGAAGCCTAAGGGTGGAGAGGGAAGTGGAATGTATAGGGGCTTCGGTAAGGGACACTAAAATATCACTAGAATACATGTGAATCTTCATACTTGTTTTATAGATGTATTTCTTCCTTAAGTATTGAAGATTTTCATTTCTTATTTTGTGTAGGCTCATAAGAAGTTAGGGGCCCTGCAAAATCACCAAATGAAAGATGGGAGAAAGATGAAGAAATTGAGCATTTTTCTGCTCTTTATCAGAAGAGTGACTCCTTTAGTAGGAAATAATAAGTAAAACATTTGTTTAATTTTTATTAATGGAAAATAATTTTTTTATATCCCATAAAGTAGATCTTTAATAAATGTTTAAAGAATATCAATTTAAAGTGTGTCAGAACCTTGTCCTGTCAGAACTTGGATGCCACAAGTTTTGTTCTAGCCATAGGTGCAGCTACATTTTTGTACATGGTATTTTTTCTCCTTCCTCTATCTTGTAAGTTTCTGTTGCATGTTGCAGGACAGAGCTTGAAGATTTATTATATGCTTTCCCTAACTTCTCCCCATTCCTAAACCTCATCCCACTGCTTGTCTACCAACTTGGATGCCACGACCCTAAGGATGACCATCCCCTCTAATGTAGTTGTCTTTCTGCTGCTTTGTGTCCTCCCCTAGATTGCTTGGTCTCATGGGTGGGACCTTTATTGTTTCCTTACTGTTGTATTCTCAGCCTGTAGAACAATACCTAGAGGAAACAGTGTAGTATTTGAATGAGCAGATGATTGAATGAATGTCTTCTGACCCTTTCCCTTTTCCATACTATTGGGTCTTATGGTCAACTCACCGGACACTAAAAATGTTAGAGATGCTAGAATGGGTGGAAAGAGAAGAAACAGTAGTTACCTGGAAGTTATGTGTGATAGTCTGGAGAAAGGGAATATATGTTCAAATAAAGAGCTCAAGATAACGAGAGAATATCAAGAAAATCATTATTAATTAGATCCTTTCATACTCCACAGAGACTAGAGGTTTAATCACTGAAGGAATACACAGTTTGAAAGAGCCTCAGGTCAAATTGAGTGCCCAAGAATGGGAGGAGAGGTTTTTGTGAGCCCAAGTGTTTAAGTATTATAATTACAGTGAACATCTCTATTTTGTTAGAAATAGAAATAGCTTTTATATTTTACATTGTTATCTAATCAGAATTGGAAAATAGGTTGGTTCAGTGTAAGCAGTAACCACATCAAAAATTGATTCTCACAGCACAGAAGTTTTATATCATAGCTGAATGGTGCAGGTTTGTTTTTGTTTTTTTTCTTTCCTCCGTGCCTGGCTAAGTTGTTGGCTGTGAAGAAAGTCAAATGTCAATGATTCTAGAAGGCAGGGAAGAATACGAAGATTGCAA